TTTGATATGCAGAGCAAGAGAATAGTGATTAGAAGAGACGTTAACTTCAATGAAAATGATTTTGGACCTCAAAAACAGTATTTGAAGATGGGTCCAGAACCAGCAAAGGAAGATAAACGACAAACAGAGCCTACGGAAAAGAACACGGATGCAGAAGAAAGCCATCCTCGACGATCTCAAAGATCCACAAAAGGGGTACCACCACCTCGATTTGGCTTGGATGAGTATGCTGACGTCACAGAAGCAAGACATGTTGTATTCTCAGCAACCATCGAAGAACCAGCTACCATCCAAGAAGCCTTCAATAGTGAATATTCCGCACAGTGGAAAGAAGCAACGGATTCAGAGTATCAGTCACTCATAGAGAACCAAACGTGGGAGTTAGTGAAGCCACCAAAAGACCGAAAGGCTATCGGGTGCAAGTGGGTCTTCAAAGTAAAGTATGACGAAAATGGACAAGTGGAACGTTTCAAAAGTCGTTTAGTAGCAAAAGGGTATTCTCAGAAGTACGGCGTCGATTTTGGTGAAACTTTTTCTCCTGTCGTGCGGTTCAGTTCTATTCGAGCCTTACTGGCTTTTGCAGTTCAAAACCGAATGCTGATTCATCAAATGGATGTAACTACGGCATTTCTGAACGGAGATTTAACGGAAGAAATCTATATGGAGCAACCAGAGGGTTACGTGATACGTGGAAAAGAGAATCTCGTTTGCAGGCTCAAAAAATCCCTCTATGGACTCAAGCAATCACCACGTTGCTGGAATCGAAAATTTAGAAACGCGCTCGAATCACTAAATTTCAGACAAGGTCAAGCAGATCCGTGCATCTTCGTGAAAGGATCTCTTGAAAGAAACAATTTGACAATTATTGCTGTTTACGTAGATGATTTAATCATCATATCCACTACTCAAGATGAAATGAAACAAATGAAAGTAAACCTGAGAAAGAATTTCAAGATGAAAGATTTGGGCAGCCTTCATTTCTGCCTTGGAGTCAGCGTTGAGCAAAGCGAAGAAGGAGTCAGTCTATCACAGAAGCAGTACATTGAAAAATTACTGAAGCGCTATGGACTTCAAGATGCTAATCCAGTGTGTACACCTCTTGATCCAAATGTCAAACTTGTAGCAGATGATGGAAACAGTAAACCTGTTGATAACGTTCAATATCAGTCTATGATAGGGAGTTTACTCTTTGCTGCCATCGCAACAAGGCCTGATATCGCTCAAGCAGTGGGAGCTCTTTCTCAATTCAATTCAGCACCAACAGAAGCGCATCTTACTGCTGTAAAACGGGTATTTCGTTATCTGAAAGGAACAATCAATCTTTCGCTGGTTTACAAGAAATCAGAAAGCAAAGAAGTTACGGGATTTAGTGATGCTAGTTGGGCTGACGATATGCAGAATCGTCACTCAACCACTGGAAATGTCTTCATGATGGCAGGAGGTGCGATTAGCTGGCTTAGTCAAAAACAATCAACAGTGGCTCTTTCAACCGCTGAGGCAGAGTACATTGCCTTGAGTAAAGCTGCCCAAGAGGTCGTATGGCTGAAGCAACTGTTTAGAGAAATAGGAGACAATGTGCAACCTATAACCATCATGGAAGACAACCAAGGAGCAATTTCGATGACAAAAAATCCAGTCGGACACAAACGGACGAAACACATCGACATAAGGTATCATTTTGTTCGAGAACAAGTAGAAAAAGGGACTCTGCTACTAAAATATTGCAACACGAAAGAAATGCTGGCTGACTTACTTACTAAATCACTGAACAGGGGTCAATTTGAGTACCTACGCTGCAAGCTCGGAATGCAATAAAACCTGAAAAGAAACTGTTGATTGAGTGGGAGTGTTGGGAACGTGCACTCAACAGTTACGTAATTGCTGCGTTTGCAAGTAAACTAATGACCTTCGTAATTAGTAGCTAGTGTTGGACACGTGTTAGAGTAGATTGCTTGCTGCTCTATTGTCAGCTAATTAGAAGCTTCTAGAAAGTTCTAATGATCGCTGAGTTAGAACTTTTTGCACGCGTCACGTAGAGTTTAGTTAGTTGCATGTTTCGCAGTGAACAAGTCGATAGAATCTCAAAACAACAGTCAAATACTTCTTTGACCGGACCACTCACAACAGAGTCATGTTGTAAATTTAAGGAAGATGGTGAGCTCAGATATATGTCATCAGCAAAAGAATGAAAACTTGTAGGGGTAGAAGAAAGGAAGTAGGTAATTGATGAAAAGGATAAATGAAAATTTCTACCAGACACGATCAAAGGCCTTTGAGGTGTCGAGAGAGATCACTCCGTTCGTTTTCCCAACAGATTCAAGACAAAGGACCAAATGCGAGCAGCATAAGCTAGAAGACAAAGGACCAAATGCGAACCGGTAGATCTTGCTGGCCAAAATCCAGTAAGTTAACAAAAGATTTGAGATCAAAGCTCAGAACAAGGGTGCAGGAAATCTTTCAGCGCCCCGTTAGATGCGCTACTGAGTGAATACAGTCAGAGTATCTCAAAAGTCTGAAAATATCAACAGATAAGGGACAACTACAAATACTTATTTATTAGAACTAAGAGAAAAAATCGAGGAAGCTGCTTGAAAACTTTTTACTATTGCAGTGATTTTAGATTGTCAAGGATATCACACACGTCACGTCTCAGACATAGAGCTCAATCCAAAATTCTTAACATAACAGGAAAAAATGACTTTGTTAAAGATCTTATTGCCCAACAGAGGTCAGAGTGCACTGCGTTAGCATTCTCTATTTTGGTACACCTGGGAACGTAACCTGGTGAAGAATCAGAATATTTAGATCAATTTTACACAACTTCTTTTTACATTTTTCTTGACATTTTTATTTTCTTCTCAACATTGTGGTGTCTTCTTTGGCTGTAATGCCCTAAGCACATGCTTATTCTGCTTAGTTGTATGTGTTCTCAATTTTATTCAGCCTTGTCCTTGTTTCTACCATGTCACCATTAAATCCTCGTAAATTGTATTCTTATCGGGGAAGTGTTGTTGGCAAATTTTGGTAACCCACACACAAGACACCACTGTCCGCACAGAAACAGAATCGCGAACGACCTAGTTGGCTTTCTCTTTCCCCTTTTTTCACTTGCAATCATCGCAAAATCAATAAATACCTTCTGTAGAAAAGAACATTGCCTCAAGGCTTCATCTGTTGTGGATCTTCGTAATTGCCTGTTTTGTAGTATATTAAATATGTTATTAGATAAGTAGGTGTAGACCAGGGACGCAAGTGAGGCTGGGCATTTTTCATTTGCCTGCAAATTCCACGAAAAAACTTAAATTCATTTTCCTAAACAGGGCCCTCGTCACGAATTTGAAAGTGGAAGGGGGAGCAAGATCAGCAAAAGAAGGAGGCCAAGGCCTCTCTCCCCTTTTACTGGAGCTTTAAAACTATTTGCTTCGTAAAAAGTGGGGGGTCATGGCCACCCCATCCCCCCCGGTGGCGCGGGCCCTGCTAAAATTTTTCTACACGTACAAAGTGTTGTACGAATGAGAAACTTTGCAGACCCTTGATAAGAAAAAAGCGAAGAAGACAAAACTTTGCAGCGTTGCAAGTCCTTTTATCAAGTTAGTTAATAATTTTATCAAGTTTTGTGAACTAATAGTAGTTCTTTAAACATAGGCACAGTTAAATATCACTAGCTATAGCTTAACCAAATCAACTTCAAACTTACCATTTCCATTACGGAAATTTATTCAGAAAAAAATATGAACTTTAGCTGTAAAATCTTTTTTCAAATTAGTAAATTGTTGCTCGAGTTTTATGGCAAAAATTTGTCAAGAAAATACCATACAAATTGGAATTTATTTTGATTTTACTGAAATATTTGCAAAGTATTTTAATTTCTGATAAAGCAATGCAACCTTCATGGTTGCAAACCAAACCCAAGCCCTCCACAAAATATCCTATCATAAAGGCAATAATGATGGTCAAAAAAACTAAAATTAACAACAAATATTAACAGTAAACACTCCTAGTGTGACATTTTAAAAGCTATTCCATCATCTACCAGCACTAAACGAATATTTAGCCATCAGTGGCACTTGCAGCTACAGCATTAAGGGGTTAATAGTGGAACATATTTTTTGAAAAGTCCTCTTTGGCAGCAGGATAACAACCTTGACAAAGTGTTTTTCCTATTAGAATACACCAGCGGCATAACCATACGGGGTGCACCTACTTATACTTAATCATACAATGACTTGAAAATCAGTGCAACCCATTTCTTCTAATACAAAACTAACCGATTTCCAGCAGAAGAGATCCAGGTCATACCAATGTAGGTATACTCTACCATTTTGTTCTTATGCAATAATTAACAGGTGTCTTTAAGAGGTATTATATACAAGAATTGATGATACAGAAGTTTTTATGAAAAATTAATCAAAATCTCTTGCCTGGAATTTAATGTATCTAACATACAGTATTTGTCCTAAACACTTTGTCCCCAAGTTATTTCGAAATTCTTTTGTTAAAAATAAAATAACCACAAATAAATTTATAGATACAATAAATGTTTGATAAACCCAGGAATGATGGTGAATATACCATAAATTCACCTAAACCATAAATTAATTATGAATAATTCTAGTTTATTTGTGAGTAGCTTTTTCTATCATCTGGCCTTCTTTTGTAGCTTTTGTGTGTTACAAGATGCAGCACTAACCCTCCAAACACAACCAAAAATATTCCAAGAACATTTGCCAGAATTCCTTCAGTCACAAACTTTGGGTATGATGGCCTGCATAAAAAAGACTTTTAACTGCCAATGTTGTAGGATTTTGTTCAATATCTACTTAACTAGCAACATAAACATAAATCTTGCTCTTGCTATGGGAACACAAAGAAATTTTTTAAAGAATTTCAAATAAACGATAGATAGCTGTTTAGATTCTAAAAGAATCAGACAATAAACAACATTTTAAAAGCCAAAACATTTTGCGACAAAATGTACTTTAAAGACTCATTGCTAACAATGAGCCACTGCGCTACGCAAGCATCCCATAATGCATTTTCAGACAGTCTGGAATCAATTTTTGTTAATCTGTAGAAGTTTACTGCCATTGTTTGGATCCTCGCCACGCTCGCAAAGGCACATTGTTAGCAATGAGTTTCTAATATTCACAAGTTATCATTAGCTTTAAAGTTGAGTGTAAAACAATATTGATTCTAATTCTTGTCCAATGAAAAATATTTAAAATGCTCTGGTTAACTGTCAATGAATTTTTAGCTACCAAACAGTTAAGAAATCTTAATCTCAAAATACATACCATCTTGCAGTTGCATTTATTTTGAAGGTGGGTGTTACAGTTATACTCAAGAAACGCCTTGTTAAATAACATTAATAATATTTATGAATACATACACTAGAATCAGAAACAACTGGTGTTGTGGAGAAACAACTGGAGACAACCCCTTTTCTTTATCTCTCTATTTCTTTCTATCTCATTTCCTTTTTTGATCTTTTTTACCTTTTTTAAGTTGTTTTCTTTCTTTTATCTCTATTCAGTTTCTGTTATTGCTATTGATACAACTTCATGTCAAGTATTATGCGTTTTTCCTTAAATCTGTTTCTTTAAAAATGTACAATGTAACTTTCAGAATCACAAAAGGGCGCGTAGCTTAAAAACTCTTGTGAGTTATTTCTATGTGTCATTCAGTATTTCATTTTTTCCTACTGACAATTTCATGTAAAATATGCTTTTCAATATTTAAATCGTTTTAGTATTATCGTACCACTTGTAACTATTTAAAATATACTAATAATAAAATGTTGAAGTTGTGTTTGAAGTTAAAGTGTATTGAAAGTTAGGACACAACAAAAAGGGTGCCATTTTGTACTATAGGAGCATTTAAAGGGATTTTGCTCAGATAAAAAGGCACTTGCCACGAAAAAGGGGCAAACAATTGGTCCTCAGTCCTTTCTAAAAAGCTGGGTCACAACCTACACCACAATTAATTTATGTCCAGTAAAGAATAGGCCTGGAAGAAACATTGCTGGTGTTTTTCTGTAACAATAGTTGTGACAAATTTGGGCAAGTACGATTTTTAGAATAAAAATTCCTTGTGCTAACCATGATTTTTATCATGATTATCTAGCTGTACATGCTTACAACTAAAAAATATCTTTATCACAATTAAAAATATTGCCATGGAGAGATTGAATATCAGGAAAATATATGGGCTTGTAAATATATAAAGAATTTACTAACTTTATACTAAATAGTAACTTCTCTGTGATTCCCAAGAGGCAATTCCCTACTGCAATAACAAAAACTGCAGAGCCAAAGTACTGATGTACCATCAAATACTGGGCACGGTATGTCTCTGGGAACTTTGGAAACAGGAATGCAAGAAATCCAAATAGCAGCTTAAGAGAGAATCAAACATCATAAACATAGCATAAGCACATAAAACAAATAATAGCAAAACAAATATAAACAAATCCTCCTAATGGATATTTTTGGCAACAAGGTTTTGTAGCTAGTAAAGTTCAAAGGAGACATTATCCAGCATTTATACAGCTTCTAGGTTTTTATAATTTTAAACAAAGATACATGATTGAACATCCCCCAGAAAACATGCAGTTAGCTGACTGGCAATACTCGAAATTGCCTAAACCAGCAACAGAAATGACACTTTGAAAACCTGATGTAAAAAGTATTGCAAAATGTATTTTTGACTAAGCTGCAAGGCTCTATGGTTCAAACAATTTTGTTGGTAACCTTCATATGATTTATATATTGCAGACAATCAAAGAAAGTCATACCTATGTAACTTACCTGGCAACCAAAGAGCACCACTGCTGCTATACCTACCCAGCTATGCAATGAATACATATTGGGTATATTTTGTTTGTTGTGAAAGTCAAAAACTGTCACCAATCCAAGAATTGTAAAAATGAGAGCCAAAATTTGCACTACCATGTGAACCAGCTTGGTATACTGCTTTTCAGTATTGCGAAAGACCCTGTAAACCATTGCTCCTTCAAAAAGAGAATGCCTTTTATGCAAATGAGCTATAGAAATGCATGGTCAAGAAATACCAATAATTCTTGCACAATGTGTAAATTATCCCCTTATATTCCTGAACAGCAAATAATAGATTTTGTTGGGAACAGCAATTTATTTGCCATTTTTTCAGAAATCTTTAAAACATCATGTGTGATATGTATTGTTATATTTGGCAGAAGTATTTTTGGGTTAAACTCAATCCAGGTTTGAATTTTAAAGGGTACAACTTTAAAATCTGTTCACATAACTTCTAGGATTAATAGGTGTTCAAATTGCACAGGGAACAATTTATATAGAGATGAGTCAAAAGAAGAATGGCCCTGAATGATACCTTCTGAAAGCTTTTAATGATCATCAGTCAGAGGCAGCTGGGAGCGGTATTAGCCTTATTAGTCTAATAGTAATAGTAATTGAAAGACTGAGGTGTAGGCATGACTTTGGAACTGCAGATGTGGTAGGTGTTCCAATGAAAATCGTTCCAGTAAAAATTTGACAGAAAATTCCTCTGGATTTTATTAAGAATTAAGTAAAATATTGCAAATTGCCAACCTTGGACTGGGGGGGGGGGGGGGGACATGTTCTCAGCAGAATCATTTTTGTATTTTGTCTGATTCGATGAAAAAATGTTGGAGGAGGGGTAATATTTTGACACCATACTTTTTGTGATGTAATCCTATGATTTTCATATTTTCAAGCAAAAGTTAGTCATGGGCGTTCCCTTTGGATAAAATTGGCGTTCCCAGTTGGTAAAAGGTTGTTTTCTGGTGGTTAAAAGGGTGTGGCTTAATTTTTTTGTTTGTCCCCCCAGAACTTAGTGCCTGGCACCGCTATTGTGGGGAAGGGCAAGGTGGCCACATTCTCCTCAAGAAGAAACCCCTGTTTGTGAATTTGTGCAGTTTTCCTGCTATTCTTAATACAACACAATATTGGTGTTATATTAAAAAGATCAATCTGACACCCACCTTTTTGAGCAATCTGGCACAATCTGGTGTAGCTTTTCAATAAAAACACAAAAAATTGATAATTTGATAAATAGGATCCTATGAATTGAGTGGCGGATCATTATCTTGCAACTAAATCCATTTTGGGGGTCTGAGAAAAGTGTGGCCATTATTGGGAGCTGCATCTCCCCCCAACCCCAACCCTCAACAGCTCTAGAGCCGATAATTAAGAGAAAAAAACATAAATTTAGTCAATGGTTAAGTCGATGAATGGCCTCACCATTTCCATAGAGAAACACCAGACCAACGACCATGAAGACAGGGTGATAATTGAATTCTTTCCCAGAACCGTCCCACGCAAATCCTCCGCGGAAATGGGCAACCCATGCAATGACAATGACAAGGCATATAATACCAACAGTCTCCGTTACCCCAGTTAGAAGATAAAAGTTGAAGAGAGCTGGCTGATCATCATCGATACTACTTTCTTCCGGACTGCCTTGCAATCTCAACCCTGACGTTTCTTCTTGTCTTTCCCCCTGCTTTAGCATAGGACTTTTCTCATCGCCATCAACAGAAGCCTGTCCGCCTGGTTCAGCCATTTTTCCAACCACTAGTACAGTAGACACAAAGATTAGGTCAGAAACCACAACCAATCAACCAATTCTTCCTGCTGGATACGATTGATCAGGTTTTCTGTTGTTGTTGTTGTTTACCTATTATGCGTTTACCACCTGCCACATTGAACGCTGTGCCCTTGAATGAATGAATGGTGAGATTTTTTCAGCAAAGGATTTTGTAGCACAGATCAAAATATACAATGCTGTTAAGCCCCCAACCCCTCCCTGTGGGGTTTGCTCGAAAAGGTTTTCTGTGACTGTTTTCTAAATATTTTGGGACTCTGGTCTAAATATTTTATGCTTGATCTATTAACTAACTTTTTTACACTTATTTTTTATAAGAACAATTTTATAAGAACACGAGCCTCGAAACTGGTCAAAAGTTAAGAACAAATCAAGAACAAGCTGAGGCTGAGCTTCTGCAAAATGCAATTTTGAACGTTTTTTCTCAAAATCGAGGATTTTTAGAGATGTGTGGGTGCTTTTTCGGTGAATATTCAAATTTGTCAGCAAATTAAGGCTGTCTCACTAACTTTGTTGGCAAATGAGGCCTGAACACCTCCTTAAAGCGAAAAAGCTAGCAATAGCACTGCTTACACCCTCTTAATTTAAGAACAAATTAAGAACAATCAAGCCTCAGATTTTCGAAAAAATTAAGAACAGTCAGCCTGAACTTAAATTTACTGGTTCTTATAAAAGAAAGAGTGTAGGTATATTTCTATTATTTGTCTATTTGTCTATCAATTCAGTAGATAACTTTCTGTATCATTGCAATGTCTGCATTTTGGATGTGTAAACATGGTCTACTGAAAATACTCGATGCAAAGAAAATTTCTGTTCTTCGAATTTCTGTTCAAAATAAAATCAATACAACAGCTTCTTGTTATTCACATCGATGCGCACTTTGAACCAAACAGGGCCCCCGCCATGGATTTCAAAGTGAGGAGGCTAAAAGATAGAATAAAATTTTAGTTTCCAGAGTCTCCAAAATGGCCGGATAATTTTCACTAGAAATTTCCATTTTACTTAATGTGAAATGTTGCGAAAAACGAAAATCGTCTAAGAGTATTTTGGTTATCTCTCGAATGTAATAACAAGGAAAGTGGTCCAGAAATATTATGGCACAGCCAGAATTCTGATAATGGAAACTATTTATTTCACGTTAATACAACTGCTCAAAAAAGATTTACTGCATGATCGTAAGTTGACACAGTTATAAAAAGTAATCTAATAAACAATGAAGTCAACAAAGAATACCTCTGACAAAATGCTAAGTAAAATGGGCAATAATCATAGAACTATTCTCACAAATGATACTAATAGGTTAATTTTCTGACTTTCGAAAGGAATGTGCCAGCTCAGTTACAAGTCATCAGTTTAAAATCGTCCAAAATGGTTGTATCGCTTGTCATGTCCTGAAAACGAATATGTTTGCTACTTCTGTTAAGTCTAAATCATCAGTAATATCTTTATGCGATGTCAATATTGCCAATGAGTTGAACCTTGTTTGTTTCATGGTGGCTCATAGCCATGTTTTCACCCTTCGCATAATCGAAAATGAACGCTCAAGCCTGGTTCACACGCGTGAAGCAAGAGCTGAAGCAAGCAAAGTAGGCATGCGCAGTTAAAACTTTTTGGATGAAGCAAGGCTTGAAGCAAAATGTGAAGTAGGCCGTTCACACAGGCGCAAGCAAATTAATCAAATCTGATGTAAAAGTATGGGCTTCCTTTATCGGCTTCAGACGAATTATACATAAAAAGCGACGTGTTCTGTGGAATAAACAAAATTGGACACAGAAGTTTTACTTTCATTAAGATACTCGACACTAGAACGTAGAATATGTAGACGAAAGCAGCTACAAACGAAAACAGCCCTGGCGGGCTCAGTCGGTTGGTCCAATGTATACAATGTGTGTTGATATAGAGAAACTGGACCCTAATCTCTGATTCTGGGTTACGAAAAATGTACCCTTTTCTCAGACTCAGACATTCACTGCGAATATTCAAGCTTGGGCAAGTATTTTTGAAACCAATTCATGTAAGAACCGTTCTATTTTATAAACTTATGTCGAAAGGCATATTAAAGAGAAGAATTCACTAAATTTGATTTTAACAACGATTCCTTGTGGTTTTTTACATAAAATAACAAAATAAGACAGCTGTAAAACTTTAAATGCAACATACATTGTTAATTTTTTTTTCTATGAAGAAATGGAAAAGTTGTGTCAAATTCCAAATAATACCTTTCAATGAGTACTAACTAGCAAAGACTTCTTATATTTTCTGAAATTCTTATCTAGGATTACAACAAAAGACTAGATGCTACTGCAAAATTCGTGATACTTCAATAGCTACTGATTTACCAAAAAATTTTCTGTAACAGCATATCAGTAAATTTCTCCCCCTTTTGTGGCTACTACAACAGAGTAAATAAGTAACCCAATTGTCAAGATCCTATGTTCCAGAATTTTAGCTTTCCGATCACCCTTTCTCGGAGTTTTTCCGAACTCATATGATATACGTTTGAACCAATGACTGAGCCCGCCGGGAAAGCAGCTAACAGTTTCAAAAGTAATTTTTTTTGTTCCTATCCCTATAAATCTTGTCAGACTTATCGTAAAGAACAAGGTATTTGCTTACAGCTTCTGCAAGTTTTTTTCCAAGAAGTTATTTTTATTGCATGCAAATGATATTCTTACCATGTGACCCTTATTCACTTCATAATGTGCGCGCTGCGTACGACGTTCACACTACAAAATTTATTGAGCAAGCATGACGCAAAGGTGAAGCAGACGCAGCAGTGAAGCAGGATTATCAAATGTTTTGATATTCTTGCTTCAACGCATGCTTCATGTTTGTTTCACTTGCTTCATGTGTGTTCCCACACCACTTGCTTCTGCTTCCACGTTTGCTTCTGCTTCAGCTCTTGCTTCACATGTGTGAACCAGGCTCCAGCTGTCGCAGTTGTTGGTGCCACTACTAGCAAAAGCTTGACTATTATAAGTACCGACGGGATTATAAGCCAATTATCACGATTACATTGTTTTAGTACTTCTTTGATTTCTAATGTGTGTGAAGGTTTGTTTTTCTTACATATGTTCTTTAATACCTTCAAGCTCAGTGCTAAGCGACGTAACATCAACATCATCACCAAAAATCTTTGTCATCTCCTCAATTTCGTCACTTGCATCTTCACCTTCAATTCCTTTAAGGAGCACCTGTTGCTCAAAGCGGGACATGAGAGCTTGAACGATGGAGTCAATTGCTCCAAATTGCAAAGGTCTATAATAGTCTTCAACTGTTACTGGGTGGTGAATTTCAGCTGATAAATGCCCTTCCACATAGGTTAGAATCGAAAAGTTTGACCGGTTGCGTTTCCTTGGTAAAGTAGGTGATTCGATCTGAGGATGAAGTGAATCTTTTCTTGACACAACATCAAAAAACAATTTAAAGTTTTCATCACTACACAAGCTCACCAAAGTGTCTTTTGTCAGCAAAGCTAGTCTTCGTGCCGCAATCGCAAGCAATATTTTGCTTTGTAGGGCTTTTGACAAATTGTCTGTGTGGCTATAAAGTCTTTGCCCCAAACATAGACCAAAAAAGGTAAAGCATAAATGTTTTAAGATAAAGCATAAGTAGGGCGCGTCACAATTACCCTTTTCACTCTTAACTGCATCATTTTTTTGCTTAGCAAAAAAGTGGGAGGGCTATAGCCCCCAGCCCCCTTTGGCGAGTTGGGGGTCTCAAAAAACTTTGCTAGCAGCTTCAAAAGTTTCTTAAAACCAATCAATTATAATGTCCTCATCTTCTCAGAGTCACCAATATCAATTGATATCCCCTTGGACATCTTCTAAACAAATTTCGACAAAATTCTAAGGCTCATACGTAAATATTTACATGGGCTGTAATCAATGCACACAATCTTATCGTCATCACACCCGTCAAGAAACCCACTCAATGCACATGTTTTGAATGTTTGACATTAAGGGCTTAAGAGGGGGCTTGTTTTAAATGTTTGCTTGACAAGGGGGGCTTAAAAAAGGGCGCTTAATATACCTTTTACGGTAATATATGATTTTCTATATTCCATCTTTTTTGTTGCCCTATCAAGATTTCTGAAAATACAACAGAGTGACTCTGATTCTTTCAATAAAAAATTGCATATCTTGGACACATGGCAAAGAATCACTACTTCTTAACATTTCCCTGCAAACATAGGTTAATATATCAGTACTTGAATTTGTTACATCTAGCATGCCGTTGTGCTTACATTGCCTATCTTGATGTATTATTGCGGTGTTTGTTAAAAACATTCAAGCTCTCCCTAGTCCTTACCAATACCTTTTAATAAAAAGCCTCAGCTGAAGCTGGTCATGATAGAATTGAATAAAAAAACAGTTGGTATAAAACTATAAATGGTTTTGAAAAAGCAGAAACATTTTCGAATAATTCGTAGAAAAGACATGCCGTCAATTACACAACCGCTTTGGTAAGCGTCTACGTAAGGTTCAACACAAAGATTACAAAAAAGAAATTTGACCATTCATGATGCTGCAAACAGACAATGAAGCTGCAAGGCGAAAGCCTTTTGCAAAAATTATTTCTAAATTGGTGACTCTAATTTCATATTGATGGCTCAAAGCCTTTTGCAAAAATTGTTTCTAAATTGGTGACTGTAATTTCACATTGGTGACTCAATAAACGTTTACATTCACATCATGGAATCGTTGTTCTCTCTATTATGTAGAAGCATTTTTTCTAATTTCTTCTTCTTTTCTTGTGTCGCAGTCTTTCCTGCATTCCAGTTATCGCCTGTTCCATGAATTGTTATTTCATTCTTAACAACCCTTTCGGACGCTTCTTTACTACTGATGATTGGTCAGAAAATTGATCGTAAATTTATTCTTTTGGCAACCTGATTGGGCAATCTCAACAGTCATGCGCGCGCGTATTTTGGCTGGCCTTAATTCGAGGCACAACTTGATATATACTTCGACAATTATTTAGACGTTCTATACTCTGAAAAGTGTAAGATGAAAAGTTTATGCTTTAAGATTTATGCTATTTACGTTTTAAAATGTTTGCTTTTTTCAAAGCCATTTATAAAAATTTACCTTGGATTCTTATTTTTAAGCCCTTTTTAATAGAGTACTCAAGTGTGATGTCACAAAAAATCTATTTTTAGAATTTTCGAATTTTGACCATACAACGTAAAAGAACACTATGAAATACTCCCATATATGCAAAATCAGTTAAATTTGTCAAAAATCGGATGAGCTATGGTAAGATTTTAAGTTTGCTAACGGATTTCTGTTATTTTGGGTCACTTCATAAAGTTATGAACTAAGACCAAATTACAGAGGTATGATGTAGCCAGAGCTTGTGCTCATCTGGTCATATCTCAGCCAATTCGTAATACCTCAAAGTGATTTTGCAGATCTAGTGGTATGTTATGATGCTCTTTAAGGTTATGGGTACAAATTTTAAGAATTCTAAAAATAGATTTTGTGACGTCTTCACTTGACAACTCTATTCCATCAGATGAAAATCTAATAATCCCGATTCAGTAGCAGTAAAATCTCAAAAAGGCAAATTTGGTTAATGAGTATTCTAAATCGATACAACCGGTTATCTTGGTTAAATCGACTATTAGATTTGAAATAAGTGAACTATTTCGTTTGATTAATTAAGCAACATGCATCCAAAGAATTTGTCATGCTTTTAACGTTCATGTCAGTATGTAAATTCCCAAGTATTGAAATTTCATCACAACGACTTGTTAAGTGAGCAAGTCCTTTTCCAAGCTCATTCAAGAAATATCAGAATTTTTTTGCAGGTTTATAGATTCTCGATTGTAGCCATTTTTACGATGTATGTTTTCTTCTTAAAGTCCGCATTCGTTATCAGGTAGCATTCTGGGTAGACATCATGGCAGCTTCTGGGACGATGCAGTCAGAAGACATACAAAAATGGATCAAGTTTTTCAAATTAACTTCAAATCACCCTTCAATAACGTAGATGAAGATTTAACGTTTTCTTGTTGAGTGGATTTAATGTATACAAAATTTATGTTCTGCAGAATTGTCACATAAGAATGAAAGTCACTTCCTCAAAATATTCCTTACAAAATGTCTAGCTGGATCCCTAAACTTTCTAAAGCGATAAAAATACAAGATTGGATTAAAACAGCTACTTAAATGGCCGATCCATAGGAAAATTAGAGATAATTCATTGTACTTTTTCTGCTTCAATACGATTTCAATAAGCAAGACGAGGCAAAACGGAGTCCACGATATGAAATAACAGACAACAATAATCAAGAGTGATGTTGCTTGTTTGGTGCTCGGAATACACTTGCACCGGCGAGGAAGCTTTTGTCCCGGCTCGAGGCCCTGCGCACTGCTGCTGTAATTTTCTTCGGGTTCGACGCCAGTGTTTGATCTTAGCACACGCTCAATAAAACGGGAAACCTTTTTTTCTTTCCAATTCACCGAATAAGAAAGGTTTCTAGCGTAGTGCGTTGATATATTAGAAGGGTTTGAAGGTATCAGAATGGGACAGCCAGATTTGTGAACCATCGTAGTTTGAATCGCTTTTCGTTGTTTGCGAATAATTGAATAAATCTGTACATTGGAGAAGACAAGAACGATTATTCCGACACCCCAGGTAAGCACGGTTACAAGGACAGTGAAAATGACTGCATCGTTAGTACCTGACCATTGCTGGGTGGAGCATGCTCCTGTGTTTGGGATAAAACACGCATAAGAGCTGATACCGAGTAAAGGAGGCAAAGCACAAAGGCCACTGTATACCCAGACAAGCAACGCCATTAAAATTGCAGCTGACCTTTTGCGATTTGCTGTGTAACGGAAGGGACATTTGATTGTTACGAGCTGGTCGAAGGACAATGCAACCAGGTTTAAAATTGAGGCTATGCAGAAAAAAAAGTTACTGAAACCAATGAATGTCCAAAAGATTGATCCGTGGCCTAGTTTTCCTTTGATAAGAACATCTGCAGTGAACGGCATAATACAACAAGCAACTAGGAGATCTGACAAGGCCAAGTTGCCGACAAGAATCGATTCGGCTTCTTGTCGTAGTCTTTTTGTTAGAACAATTGAAAGCAAAATCAGCAGGTTGAAGAAAAGTGCAGTCAAATTCATAATCAATGTGACCATTACTGAAATAGCTGTTCCAGTAACGCTCCAATTCTTGGTGACTGGAGCGTAAATATTTGTTAAATTCCCCATTTTGCCCACTCTTCAGATGCAGACGATCCCAGACAACTAAAACAGCTGCATTGGTTGCAAACTCAAGTTTGATGTTCACGCACAAGATATTTAGATTTTATTTCAAATGATTTGACCTTCTGTGTTTTGACTGCAAGAGAGTTAGCTGGATGTGGATGTTTTTGCTAGAAAAAAAGAAAAGCCTTTTTTATTGCTGATTTCCACAAAGTCTCCATTAAAAAAAGGTCAACAAATGAACGATACGATTTTTGAAACGGCATGATATAATTTAGATGAAGATTTGCAAAGAAATTCTCACGACAACAGCCGATGTCTTCGGAGACACGACTGATAGCGATAAAAGGGCAACGTAAACTCAGAATCGTCTAAGGCGGCTCATGTCCTGGAGGCATCGATTTTTAATGACACCTGTCGCCATTCCCATAGCCTGAATCTCTGATTAAACTTGATGTAGTTTTCAAAATGTATAATAACATATTGCAATTACAATAAAATCATAACAAAACAAAGTGGTTTCTTGCAAATTACAGCAAATATTGACTAAAAAGCTAAATCCGTAAAATTAAAGTGACGTTTTCATGAATAAACCGAAATGGAATCTTGCGAAAATATTAGCTCCATTTCTGTTCAATGGAGACAAAGACCCACAGCTTCAAAATGTAAATACAGACGATAAGGCATTCAATACTACACGAACAACAACGTCAGTGTGGGTTGATATTCAAATAAAAGCCATTTTAGTATCAAAGAACAGCAAACATGGGGTTAAGACAGAGGTAGGGAAATCGGTGTCTCGTCAAAGAAAAATTGAAATTTTTCAAGTAAATGCAGCAGTTGCCTAAGGCTTTTGAAAATGAATAGCTCATTCCTTACAAAACGAAATCCACGGTAATTGTCACATCGTTTTACCAAAAGGCATAACACGAAAATAAATTTAAATATCGATATTTCAAATACTAAAATTCGGATATTCAAGTTAGACAAAACAATCAGAAAAACAGCCGACCTTGACAAGCCTCGGCAGCCCGAAAGGCTTCCCCGACTCAACCACCCTCTAAAACAGCTATTTTATGAAAATTGTAAAAAGTCAATACCCTTACTTTATCATTTACATCAATAGCTTACGATTTTTAAATCGATAAATCAAGGGGCGAGCTTTTGAAGAGTATTGAATCAAACATGCTTGACTATAGCATTGTTTGAACTTTCATGATAAATAATTTCTACTCACGAGCTATAAGTTGATCTTCTTTCGCTTGGGTTTGCTTCTCGTTCCACTTGCTTTCTCAGCTAATTTCTTCTCAATGATTTCCCTTCTCGTGAGGTCTTCATCCTTTGAATGGCGTAGGTTTGAAATAAGAACGGATTTAAAGATTTCCTATCATTTAACATGAGATTTTTTCTCAGATGACAGATGTTCTATCGAAATTATGACGTATACTGACCTCAAGCTCAATGTAGCAGTCAGTATCCCCCAAACCACCTTAGTACCGTGAGTAAGACAATAAACAGGAGCTGGTTAGATGTATACAATCGATTCCTGGATAAACTTAGCCCCCGTTTACCTCAGACCCCCTGTTTATCATTTTCGAGCCTCGTGTCTTGAGAAACTGCAAAGTGTTTACATACAGCACAAACACAATCACACAAAGTGGAATATTCGCAAAACTATGTTAAAGTGCAAGGCGTCAGCTTGCTAGAATCAATTCGCTTTGCACTGAGTTATTTCTTTGCGCAATAGATGCGCAAAGGAAACATTGCTATTAAGCGCTTAAACAGAACAAAGAGCTTTGTGCAAAAAACTGCACAAACGACATATCTTAGGCAAAATATATAAATGAAATGGCAAATAAGCTTACTCCTGGTCCTGGTTGATGACAATAAAACCATAAAGAAATGACAAGCAAGAATGTTCGTTGATTTCATTCAAAATGTTCCTGTGGAGCTGAATTGAGTGACAGCGATCGAAAGAGTGAGTAGAGAAACACTATCATTGCATCCCTATCATTTCGTTTTATCGCTTTATCGCTGTTATTGGAGGCGCATATGGCGATTTCTCACAAATCATTGAGTAAATGCATGTAAGCATGGGACACTGAGATGGCATAAACACAAGGCGAGTGGTTTTTGGCAATTATATTTGAAAAAAAGGTAATTGAAACACACTGATGGCAAAAAAATGGAAGCAAGAAACAATGGGACTCAGATGCACATTTGCACAGTCTGAACATCTAAGCGATGAGAGGATGGGGTGTCAAATTCGAAGCCTGGACGCAAATCTGATAACAAAGGTGATGGTGCTCTTAGATTGGAAATGTACAGTAGCTAAAATCTTTATTTCTTTCATCCTAATTGTTCCGGATAATTCCTCGTATAAAAGAACAGCTGTTTATCATGACTATTTTTCCTTTATTTACAATCGAATTCTTGAAAATAGCTGTAAAGAAGCTCATCATGCAGGGACGACAAAACAAATTGCAGATTAAGGGGAAGGTGGGGGGGGGGGTAAATGTATTCAATATGCTATCAATATACGAAATGTTTTAGGAGGCTAACGAACCTCAGTCCCTTTCCCTTATAATCCCTGTCATTACGATCTAATCTTGATTCTCATCTTGATTCTCCGGAGCTGCAATGTGTCGCATACTTTGAGTGTGAGGGACAGAAACATTGGAGCTTTGAAAGAAACTCGCTGGCTGGTTTTTTGAAAGAATTTGGAATGATTTGGAGCATGTGAAGTGAGCATTTGGAGTATGAAATTTACAAAAACATTTCGTTTTCGTTTTTCCACAAGAAATTGGCATTCACAGCATCAACGGTAGATGCAAAGCTGAAATATAGATACAAAAGCAAAGCGGTAAATGTCCTCAGTGCTGCTGTGCTGAAATTAACTATGGACAATCATGCTAACCCCTGAAAATCTCTAGCTTTGTTCATCAAATCAATGACACATTATACCTTGAAAAATGCATAACCTTCTAAATTCTTGACGATTACCCTTTTACTGCTGTTATAATAGTCTGAGATAGGCACCAGTTATCAGAGGCGGATCCAGAGTGAGTTCCTTGGTGCACAGAACTCAGTCAGTTTTCCAACATATAGCTAAAGGGAGGGGGTTGCAGAAATTTCCACAGAGGCACTGGTTTCAGTCGGAAAAAAATCTATAATTTAGATTTAGTGAGTGGATAGTACCTACCAACCCCCCCCCCCTACCAAAATGCAAAAATATGAATAATAATGTTGTTACCTGAAAGACCCTAGCCTTGGCCTGGAACTCAGTCAGATTTTTTGCTAGATCCGCCCCTGGTTATGGCCAGGTCAACTGCCTCAATATCTTCATGGATTACTCTATTTTGTCTCCACTAATTTTGGTCTTAACTTCTATATACTCATCGCATCTTTATTGACTGAATGGAACCCTTTTGTCACTGCTTTTTGAACATATGAAGTTGCATTAGAAATTCATATGGAATTCAACTCCACGTTAACAGCATTGGTATGATCTCATAAAATGATTTTCTTGGACAGTTGATTTAAAAATTCAGCCCCACATCTTGTAAAGATTGATTGTCATCAAATCCTGGTCGTTGAAATCCTCAGTTGAGCATGCCTGGGAATTTTCTTGTTCTAGGGCAAATTCAACAAGTGCATTGCACTAAGTTAGAGCTCGAAAGGAGTTCTGTTTGTAATCTTGAGACTAATTGTACCACACATCCAATTAAAAAAGCTCCCTTTATTATATGGATCTACTCGCAGTCAATTTCCAGAATAAAGCAAAAACCTTCCAAAAAGCGTGTGACTTTGCTGTTGCTGCACATTGCCATGTTATTACAGGTGGTTTCTTTCAGCAAACTCTTAGACTAAAGATATTTGATTACTTCTAGAGAAGTAAATGTTTTGCCTTTTTGCTGGTGCGCAGAAAGAAGGACCTTGAAAGGAAATAGGACCTTGAATACGTCGAAAAGGAATGTGATCGGGTACCCAGAAAGCTTGTGTATTGATGTCTCCGTAAAAGGATTCCAGACACTGATAAGAGAGACTGGGCTTTTGTAGGCACACTACGTGAGCAGAAAGAATACTTTTGAATAAAAGTGGGACATCATCAAGGCCCAACACTAAGCCTATTTTTGCTTGCAGTAATGTTTTACACAATTGGTGCTGGGTTCATGAAGAGATTGCTATGAGGGCTGTTAATCTGGTTATGATGACAGAGAGTGGAGAGAGTCTTAAAAAACTGGGTGAAGCAGCAGATTTGAATGAAAAAAAATTGAAATGAATGTCGTCACAGCCAAAAAAAACCCGGCATCAACTGAAGAAGAAGATGAAGAAAAGAGAACCAATGAAGTCTGTCAATCAGAACTACTTATGCACATATGACAGATGTTCGCTTGAGCAAATAAACGACAGCTTCTCTGCTTGAAAGTGTAAGGCTCTTAGTTCTTAATTAAAAAGATGCGCAGAAAAGGTGCCGGGTCAAAACATTTTACTTTACGTTCTTATCTGAAAGGTGTATTTTGTAACTACAATCCTGAGCAGAGAGATTTTGCACTCCCTCCCCTTCAACGTTCAATGCCAAGATCTCTGCTTTTAAAATCTACTCTCTCACTTTGAATAGGAAGAGGGATGGGTAGATGACAGACTCAACATGCATTATACCGGGTACGTGTTTAGGGGTTTGTCTCAACCGTTCTTTCTGATATTTAGGTCAGTGGTACATTCAATTGCTGTATCTTGGTACCAAAAAATTGCTCAGAGGACAATTTCCAAGGCTCCTTAATATAATAAAGGCGGCATTCAGGCTCTTAAATTCTCCTTTTCAGAAGTCGAATGGAAAACAACTAAGTACAAAAAGTCAGACAAGAATCGCTAAAATTGTGAGCTGCTTCTCAGGCTTGAGGCTAGCACACGTTGTTCACGCACAAGTGCATTCTCACTTAACGAGAAACGCCTGTCCACGTCCGAGTCAGCATAAATAGTTAGCAATTAATAAATAATAAATAACTAATAATAAGTAGTCAGCAAACTGTTATTGCACTGAAGAGGCAAACGAGTGACTCGTCTGAGTAAATCACTTCAAAAAAAAGGGCCTCAGTCAGCAAAATAGTCCGCAAGCAAAAGCAAAAAACGAAGGCTATATAGAAAAAAATCCTCACTTCGTAGAAGCTGCCAAGGGAGCAGGAAGAAAGTTCACAGGGAGACAGTTGACAATAAGGGAGCCTAAACGGAAGGTTTTTGCAATAGCAAGCTTTTATCTTGCCTTGAAGAAAGAATGGTTTTGTTCTTTCTTTGGGACTCGACCGGTGCACCACTTTCATAGCTGATGCTAACCATTCGGGCATCTATACTCCGAAGGTTTTCAGAGGAAATCAACTATCAGGTAAGATAACTAATGCTATTGCAGAAAGAAGCTTACAACCCGCTGTTTTAGAAAAGGATGAAAGCAAACCATTCAGACGAACAGATCAATTTCTGCAACCTATGCACTTTCAAAGATATTCGCACAAAGGAGCACGAAAACAGATGGTCCCTTTCACCAGGGAAATACAGCATGCATCTACTACGATGTTGTTGGCAATAAAATTTCGATGATACAAACAAAAAGAATGGAAACAGACGAATTTAAATCACACAATTAAATGTTGGATATCACATTCAAAATTTTCAAACTTCAAGCTCATGACTTCAATTTTCAAATCGATGATATTTAGCTTACTTTTAAAACGTTGTTAGTACAAATTAGGACCAAATGAAAGAAAATCTTTCAAATATTCTTAAATTATTCTAAACAAAAACAAAGTTTGAAAAAAGAAATCGGGAATGGTAGATTCAAAAAATAGAAGCAGAAAATTAAGTTAAAAACGTGGTTTTCACAACAGGTGAAACTCATTTCTACCAGAACTGCTCGACTAGGAATGATGTATGCAGTGGACAATTGTACTTAAAACTACTTTTTACATTCAGACTAAACAAAATCAAGTTGCTAATGAAGCAATCCACAGCTACTAAAAATTTGACTATAGAATGAAGCAATCCACAGCTACAAAAATGATGACTCGAAAAATAAAAGAGGATAACAAGAGATTACGCAAACGTTTTCCACTTTACACAAACCAGGAGCAATCCATATCTAGCCACACTCATTCCAACCCAGTTTTATATGATCGTGTTAATGAAAAAAGGTTTAAAGTAAAACTCACGGAGTTTTGGTGCAAACAAGTGGAGGTACTGCCTTCCTCATCTGCTAATGACGTCATTTGCGTTGATGTGTTACTAGTCACTTCTTGGTCTGTATCCTGTTCCTTAACACCTAGCACAACAAAATATTTTACTAACAAGATTTCCTAATATTCATGAAAAAAGATCAGAGAATACAACATAAACTGAATTTAAAAGCCAGGAAAGGTATATTTTCCAAACCTTGGTTTAAATACAGGAGACTGAGTAGTTTGCAAAGTAGCATTCGCACTGTGTCCTTCTCTATATTTGAATTTTTATGTTAGTAAGCTGGAATATTTTTACAGCTTTTGACTTCATCATATGGTGTCTCAACGAATAGTGGCGTTTATACAGTCAAGTTATAGAGTTAAGATCGAATGTGTGAGTTATACAGTATTATGTATCAAGTACGTTATATCCGAAATACGTTGTAACGAGGGTAAGTAAAAATTGATTAAAATCAAGCACACCTTTTGCGGGGAACAAGCACACCAGTACGTTATATCCGAAAGTATGTAATAACCGAGTACGTTATAACGGGATTCTACTGTAACAGTTTCAAGCTGCTTTGTTTAGAAAAAAGGTTTAACCAAGTTAATTGCTCTGGAGTTATGATTGTTATTATATTCCGAGACCGACAGAATTTTTTCGGTCTTCGAATTATTTGGGGCACGACACTTCAGCTCCAATAGCCGTTAAAGCCCTGTAAGGCCCTTTTGATCTGAAAATGACAAGGTAATCTAAAGATGAATGAGAAATACATAAGTAACTAGCACACATGATTAAATGCACAAAGTCTTTCGCAAGGAAAAAGCAGAATTTTGAATGGGGCGAGAAAAACAGGAATTTTAACAGAAGACGGTAACTGATGATAGCGGTCCAGAGGATATTGTGTCAACTGAAAATCTTGAACTCATCGATGCCAAGATAACATACTCACGATCATGACTTGACATTTTTCCGTCTTGCCTTCTCAGTACAACTTTTCCAAACAGTTTCTGGCAGTGTTCATCTGTAAATGCTTTAATGGGGTTCGCGACAACTTCTGAAAACTCCTTATGATAAAAAATCTACTTTAGTTTGAATGAAATGATATAAAAAGCTGCTCAATTCTACTCAACCTCTCGAAAGCCTTTTGTTACCGAATTTAAAGAAATGAAAATATCATTATGTGTGTATTCTTGCGCTCGTGGTTGATAGAAATGAACACAATATAGTACATACTTTTTTAAGAATACATTATATAAGAATATTAAGGCTTCAAATTGCAGAAATTTAACAATAATTTAGGAATAATGCAAGGCTTAAAATTCATCAAGAATTAGATTTTTTGTTTATTATAGATTTTTTGGAAAGCAAAGCAAATGCGAGTTTCACGCTTCATGTTTTGAAATAGACGTATCCTGCCTTTGGGTCATTAGCACCATAATGCGACCTAGTTACACCTTGAATCGCTTAAGAATATATTAAGAATAACCTTAGTTTGTGCATACAATTCAATTTTATCAAATCAATAACAGCGACCTTTAATAATGAAACTCGATAATAAAGAAAGCAGATTGAGCGACTTAAGCAACTGCTTTCGCAGTTGTAGAGAGGACACGCAGCCAGTGCATTTCCTCTAAAATTTAGTGTTTATATGCAAAAATATTCCAAATTGCGACAGTACCGGCTCATGACCTGTGGTTTTAGTCATGGATCAACAAAAAGCAAGATTCAATCAATTTTAAATGCATCATATGGGTTTAGTTTACACAGTTGATGCTGTAAAATAAGATGATACCTGCCTCTGACTGAAAGCGCTGTTGTAGGAAAGTGGATGACACAAAAAGTTCGGTTTCCAAATTCCCTAGAACAAGCAGCGGCAAGCAAATTATTTTCTAGGCAAATCAGTAATAAATGAACAAATTTAAAATGATCTACTTTTCTAAAAGGAAAATGCGTATTGCTTTCCAAGACTGTTGAAAGTATTTCGCACTCGGAGAAAAAGTATAAAAAGT